CTAATAGGAATAGACTGAAGGCCCTGAATCCTGCACTATGAGGATGACCTGAGGCCCTGAATCTGCAACTATGAGGATAGACTGAGGCCTGAAAATCTGCACTATGAGGATAGACTAGGAGGCCCCTGAATCTGCACTATGAAGATAGACTGAAGGCCCTGAATCTTGCACTATGAGGATAGACTGAGGCCCCTGAATCTGCCACTATGAGGATAGACCGAGGCCATGAATCTGCACCTATGAGGATAGACTGAGGCCTCTGAAATCTTCACTATGAGGATCGACCTGAGGCCCTGAATCTGCACTGAGGATAGACTTGAGGCCCGTGAATCTGCACTATGAGGATAGACTGAGGCCCTGAATCTGCACTATGAGGATAGACTGAGGCCATGAATCTGTACTATGAGGATAGACTGAGGCCCTGAATCTGCACTATGAGGATAGACTGAGGCCCTGAATCAGCACTATGAGGATAGACTTGAGGCCATGAATTCTCACTTATGAGGATAGACTGAGGCCCTGAATCTGCACTATGAGGATAGACTGAGGCCCTGAATCTTGCACTAGTAGATAGACTGAGCCGTGAATCTGCAGTTCAAGGAGGATAGACTGAGGCCCTGAAATCTGCACTATGAGATAGACCTGAGGCCTGAATCTGTGTACTAGAGATAGACTGAGGCCCTGAATCTGCACTTATGAGGATAACTGAGGCCCTGATCTGCACTATGAGATTAGACTGGATGCCCTGAATCTGCACTATGAGGAAGACTGAGGCCCTGAATCTGCACTATGAGGATAGACGAGGCCATGAATCTGTACTATGAGGATAGACTGAGGCCCTGAATCTGCACTAGAGGAAGACCTGAGGCACCTGAATCTGCACTATGAGGATAACTGAGGCCCTGAATCTGCACTATGAGAATTAGACTGAGGCCCTGAATTCTGCACTATGAGGATAGACTGAGGCCCATAATCTGCACTATGAGAATAGACTGAGGCCGTGAATCTGCACTATGAGGAAGACTGAGGCCCTGAATCTGCACTATGAGGATAGACTGAGGCCATGAACTGTACTATTAGGATAACTGAGGCCCTGAATTCACTATGAGGATAAGACTGAGGCCCTGAATCTGCACTATGAGGATAGACTGAAGCCCTGAATCTGCACTATGAGGATAGACAGAGGCCTGAATCTGCCACTATGAGGATGACTGAGGCCATTAATCTACACTGTGAGGATAGACTGAGGCCCCTGAATCTGCACTATGAGATAGACTGAGGCCCGAATCTTGCACTAAGGATAGACTGAGGCCCTGAATCTGCACTATGAGGATAGACTGAGGCCATGAATCTGCACTATAGGATAGACTGAGGCCCTGAAATCTGCACTATGAGGATAGACTGAGGGGCCCTGAATCACTGCACATGAGGATAGACAGAGGCACTGGAAATCTGCACTATGAGGATAGGACTGAGGGCCCTGATCGCACTACGAGGATAGACGGAGCCCAGAATCTGCACTATGAGGATAGACTGAGGGCCCTGAAACTGCACTATGAGGGATAGACTGATCCCCTGAATCTGCACTAAGAGGATAGACTGAGGCCCTGAATCTGCACTATGAGGATAAACTGAGGGCCCTGAATCTGCACTATGAGGATTAGACTGAGGAGCCCTGGAATTCACTATGAGGATAGACTGAGGGCCCTGAATCTGCACTATGAGGAAGACCGAGGCCCTGGATCTGCACTATGAGGATAGACTGAGCCTGAATCTGCACTATGAGGATAGACTGAGGGCCCCTGAATCTGCACTATGAGGATAGACTGAGGCCCTGAATCTGCACTAAGAGGATAGACTGAGGCCCTGAATCTGCCACTATGAGGATAGACTGAGGCCCTGAATCTGCACTATGAGGATAGACTGAGGGCCCTGAAACTGCACTATGAGGATAGACTGAGGACCCTGAATCTCACTATGAGGATAAGACTGAGGCCCTGAATCTGCACTATGATGATAGACCTGAAGCCCTGAATCTGCACTATGAGGATAGACTGAGGCCCTGAATCTTCCCTATGAGGATAGACGAGGCCTGAATCTGCACTATGAGGATAGACTGAGGCCCTGAATCTTCCCCATGAGGATAGACGGAGGGCCCTGAATCTGCACATATGAGGATAGACTGAGGCCTGAATCTGCAACTATGAGGATAGAACTGAGGCCCGAATCTGCACTATGATATAGACCTTGAAGCCTGATCTGCACTATGAGGATAGACTGAGGCTTTTGAATCTGCACTATGAGATAGACTGAGGCCCCAGAATCTGGACTGCAACTATGAGGATATACTGAGGTCGCCTGAATCTGCACTATGAGGATAAGACTGAGCCTGAATCTGCACTATGAGATAGACTGAGGCCCTATCTGCCTATGAGATAGCTGAGGCCATGAATCTGTACTATAGGATAGACATGAGGCCCTGAATCTGCACTATGAGGATAGACTGAGCCCCTGAATCTGCACTATGAGATAACAGAGGCCCTGAAACTGCACTATGAGGATAGACTGAGCCCTGAATCTGCACTATGAGGATAGCAGAGGCCATGAATCTGTACAATGAGGATGAGACTTAGCCATGAATCTGCACATGAGGATAGACTGAAGGCCCTGAATCTGCACTATGAGGAATAGACTGAAGCCCTGAATCTGCACTATGAGGATAGACTGAGGCCCTGAAACTGCACTATGAGATAGACTGATGCCAGTGTATCTACAACTGTGAGGATAGAAACTGAGCCCGAATCTGCACTATGAGGATAGACTGAGGCCCATGATCTGCACTATGAGGAAGACTGAGCCCTGAATCTGCCTATGAGGATAGACAGAGCCATGAGATCTGCACTATGAGGATAGACTGAGGCCCTGAATCTGCAATACTATGAGATAGACTGAGGCCCCTGAATCTGCATCTATGAGGTAGACTGAGGCCCTGAAATCTGCACTATGAGGATAGACTGAGGCCCTGAATCTGCACTATGAGGATAGACTGAGGCCCTGAATCTTCCCTATGAGGATAGACTGAGGCCCTATCTGCACGATGAGGATAGACGGAGGCTCTGAATCTTCCTAGGAGGATAGACTGAGGCCCTAAATCTTCATATGAGATAGACTGAGGCCCGCTGAATCTGCACTATGAGGAATAAGACTGAGGCCCTGGAATCTGCACTATGAGTAGTAGACTGAAGGCCCTGAATCTGCACTATGATGATAGACTGAGGCCCTGAATCTGCACTATGAGGATAGACTGAGGCCCTGATTCTGCACTATGGGAGGAGACTGAGGCCCTGAATCTGCACTATAGATAGACTGAGGCCCTGAATCTGCACTAAGAAGATAGACTGAGGCTCTGAATCTCTGCACTATAAGGATAGACTGAGGCCCTGAATCTGCCCTATGAGGATAGACCAGAGGCCCTGACTTTCACTCTCTAGAAAGACGTAGAATTAGGGGGATATGATTGAGGTGTATAGAATGGAAGACAGGAATAAATAAAGGGATTGTAAATAGTGTGCTGAAAATATCTAGCCTAGACAGGACTCGCAGCAATGGTTTTAAGTTGGAAAAATTCAGCTTCAGGAAGGAAAATAGGAAAGTAGCTGGTTTGGTAATAGAGTTGTGGATGAGTGGAACAAACTCCCAAGTACCGTTATAGAGGCCAGAACGTTGTGTAGCTTTAAAAATAGGTTGGATAAATACATGAGTGGATGTGGGTGGGTGTGAGTTGGACCTGACTAGCTTATGCTACTGGGTCTGGTACAGTGCTCGATCCTTGAGTGAGGTGACCAGACTGGGTGGGTCTTGTCTAATCCGGGGGGGGGACATGGACCTGCTCCGCATGGGTCAGTAGGCCTGTTGCAGTGTTCCTTCTTTCTTATGTTCTTAAACAAGGTTCCATATCCTCTGAAACTGGGTCCTTCACCCACTGAAACTAGGTCCCATAAAGAGAAACTAGGTCTTGTTCTCACTGAATCTAAGTCTCACACCCACTGAAACTAGTTTCCTCACCATAACACGAAACTAGGCCCCCAAACCCACTGAAACTAGGTCATACCCACTGAAACTAGGTCCCTTAGTAGCCACTGAAACTAGGCCCTCATGCCACTGTGAAATAGGTTTCCATACCCCACTGAAACAAGGTTCCTCAACTGAAACTAGGTCTCATACCCACGGAAACTAGTTCCCATACACTGAAACTAGGTCCCATACCCACTGAAACTAAATCCCATACACAAACTAGTTCCATCATAACCCACTGAAAAACTGGTCATTTAACCCACTGAAACTAGGTCCCTCACCCACTGAAACTAGGTCCCTCACCCACTGAAACTAGGTCCCTCACCCACTGAAACTAGGTCTCACACCCACTGAAACTAGTTCCCATACACTGAAACTAGGTCCCACACCCACTGAAACTAAATGCAATACCCATTGAAATTAGGTCCTATACCCAATGAAACTAGACCCATACCCACTGAAACTAGGTCCCATACCCACTGAAACTCGACCCATACCCACTGAAACTAGACCCATACTCACTGAAACTAGGTCCCATACCCACTGAAACTAGACCCATACCCACTGAAACTCGACCCATACCCACTGAAACTAGGTCCCACACCCACTGAAACTAGTTACCACTCAATAACTACTGTATATACAGGGTGTTTCAAATATATGGACCCAGTTTGAAGGCAGTATATATCATGATCAGATCCATTAATTTGAAACACCCTGTATATAGTAATTAAGTGCGGAGCTCGGCCCGCGCAACACCTCCTCCTGGTCCATCAGCGTCACTACTGATCACTGCCGGGTGACTCCGCCTCGCTGCCACCCACGCTGAGCTGCGGTACAACAACTTTTCCAACCCACTCGGGGTACGATAAGATGGGCATCGTTTGGGGTATTTGATATGTGGGTGCCCACAGTTAATGCCCAGGACACGTGCACACACGCATACACACACTTCAAGGCACTGTGTGTACGTGGCACCACTGGCACCGTGTACTCACGGAAACAGTGAAAAATTCCAGCAGTAGCAGCGAGTCAAATTGAATAGATATTTTCTCCGTCTATATTGCGCAGTGAATTTTTTCTACATTACCAATATTTAACAAGAATATAGTGGGCACAAAACTCAAAAAGTCACTACGAACTATCAGCCCCCTAGAGCATAATTTACATAAAATCCTCAAGTTTTGAAAATTGACGGGAATCCAAGATGTCTCCGAGACGCATATTGCTTCTCTTATTTCTCATTTTTGTGCTGTTTTCTCTGCTTGTGGAGGAAGTAGAGGGCAGGAAGAGGGTGAGGAGGAAGCGGAGGAGGGGCAGGGGCAAGCAGGGGCAGCCAGGGGCACGCAGGATCCGCCATGCAGCAGGAAAAAGGGCAGAATTCGTCAGGAGGCGACTGAGGAAGGCGCAGCCGGAGAGGCGAGAGGCCCAGCTGCGTCTGGTTGATGGTAGAGCTGACTGGGAAGGTGAGTCAGGCTCCTGATCCAAGGTGACGGAGACAAACATTACTATTATTAATACCATCAAAATAAAACAATATAATAATAATAATAATAATAAATAAATAATAATTAATAATAATAATAATAATAATAATAATAAAATAATTATAATATAATAAATAATAATAATTATAATAATAAATAATAATAATAATAATTTAAAAAATAATAATAATATAATAATAATAATAAAATTAATTAATAAGAATAATAATAATAATAATAAATAATAAAAAATAATAATAATAATAATAATAATAATAATAATAATTATAATAATAATAATAATTATAATTAAAATAATAATTATAATAATAAAAATAATAATTATAAAAAAATAAATAATAAATAATATAAAAAATAATTATAATAATATAATAATAATAATTATAATAATAATAATATAATAATTAATAATAATAATAATAATAATATAATATAATAATAATAATAATAATAATAAATAATAATAATATATAATAATAATAATAATATAATAATATAATAATAAAAAATAATAATAATAATTATAATAAAAATAATAATAATAATAATAATAATAATTATAATAATAATAATAATAAAATAATAATAATAATAAAATAATAATAATAATAATAATAAAAATAATTTTAAAAATATAATAATATAATATAATAATAATAATAATAATTAATAATAATAATAATAATAATATATAATAATAATAATAATAATATTTAATAATATAATAATTAATAATAATAATAATAATAATAAAATATAATAAAATAAAATAATAAAATTATAAAATAATAATAATAAAAATAATAATAATAATAATAATAATAATAATAAAAAAAATTTAATAAAAAATAATAATAAAATAAAATAATAATAATAATAATTTTTACTTATGAGTCACTGAGTAGATGGGACGTCAAGAGTTTCCTCCGTGAGAATATGGGGGGGTCCCAGTGATGGTGAGAGACAGTGTGGGAGTACGTGATGGTGAGTGACAGTGATGGTAGGACAGTAGGGTGAGTGCAGTGTGGTGAGTGACAGTGTGGGATGACAGTGATGGTGATGACGGGAGGGTGAGAGACAGTGATGGTGAGTGACAGTGATGGAAGTGACATGTGGGAGAGCGTGAGGGTGGTGACATGGGTGATGACGTGATGGTGGATGACAGTAGGGTTTGGTGACATTGAGGTGGGGGACAGTGATGTGAGGCAGTGATGGGAGTGCAGTGATGGAGAGACAGTGATGGTGATGAGTGTGGTGAGTACATGAGGGGTGAGGACAGTGAGGGTGAGTGACAGTGATGGTAGTGACGTGAGGGTGAGAGACAGTGAGGTGAGTGACAGTGAGGGGTGAGTGACGTGAGGGGGGTGACAGTGATGGGAGGGGGACGTGTGGTGATGACAGTGTTTGGGAGTGACAGTGTGGTGAGTGACAGTGGGTGAGAGACAGTGATGGTGAGTGACAGTGATGGTGAGTGACAGTGATGGTGAGAGACAGTGATGGTGAGTGACAGTGATGGTGAGTGACAGTGATGGTGAGTGACAGTGATGGTGAGTGACAGTGATGGTGAGTGACAGTGATGGGAGTGACAGTGTGGTGAGAGACTTGTGGTGATGCAGTGATGGTGAGTGACAGTGATGGTAGAGACAGTGATGGAGTGACAGTGATGGTGGTGACAGTGATGGTGAAGACAGTGAGGGTGGTGACAGGTGGTGAGTGACAGTGGGGGTGATACGTGTGGTGAGGACAGTGATGGTGAAGCAGTGATGGTGAGTGACATGAGGGTGGAGACAGTGATGGTGAGGGCAGTGATGGTGAGAGACAGTGATGGGGGAGTGCGGGTGATGGTGAGTGACAGTGATGGTGAGGAAGTTTGGTGAACGTGAGGGGAGTGACGTGAGGGTGAGGACAGTGAGGGTGAGTGACGTAGGTGAGTGACTGATGGTGAGAGACAGTGATGGTGATGACGTGATGGTGAAGACATGATGGTGGGGACATGAGGGGAGGACAGTGTGGTGAGTGACAGGAGGTGGTGACATGAGGTGAGTGACAGTGTGGTGGTGACAGTGATGGTGAGAGACAGTGATGGTGATGAAAAGTGATGGAGAGGACGTATGGTAGTGACATGAGGGTGGGGACAGTGAGGGTGAAGACGTGATGGTGAGTGACAGTGAGGGTGATGACAGGAGGGTGAGAGCATGTTTGGTGAGTGACAGTGAGGGTGAGAGACATGAGGGTGAGAGACAGTGTGGTGAGTGACAGGAGGTGAGTGACAGTGATGGTGATGACAGTATGGTGAGTGACGTGATGGTGAGAGACAGTGAGGGGTGAGTGACAGTGATGGAGAGAGACATATGGTGAGTGACAGTGATGGTGAGGGACATGAGGGTGGAGACGTGATGGTGGGTGACGTGATGGGAGTGACGTGATGGTGAAGACGTGAGGGTGAGTGAAGTAGGGTGAGAACATGATGGGAGGACAGTGATGGTGGAACAGTAAAGGTAGTGACAGTGTGGTGAGTGCAGTGAGGTGAGTGCAGTGATGGTGGGACAGTGAGGTGAAGACAGGGAGGGAGTGACAGTGATGGTGAGAGACAGTGATGGGAGTACAGTGATGGTAGTGACAGTGAGGGTGAGAGAATGAGGTGGTGACAGTGATGGAAGAGACAGTGATGGAGTGCAGTGATGGGGGGGACGTGATGGTGAGACATGATGTGGTGACAGTGATGGTGAGTGACAGTGATGGTGGAGACAGTGATGGTGAGGAATGAGGGTGGTGACAGTGATGGTGAGTACGGTGGTGAGAGACAGTGTGGGAGACAGTGATGGGGGTGACGTGAGGAGATGCAGTGATGGTGGGGGGAAGTGAGGGTAGAGACAGGATGGTAGTGACAGTGATGGGAAGACAGGATGGAGGACAGTGATGGGAGTGCAGTGTGGAAAAGGACAGGGGAGGGTATGACAGTAGGGGTGAGGGACAGGGATGTGGAGACAGTGAGGGGTGATGACAGTGATGGTGAGAGACAGTATTGTGAGTGCGTGATGGTGATGACAGTGAGGTGAGGACAGTGTGTGTGATGACAGTGATGGGAAGACAGTGATGGGAGGACAGTGAGGTAGGGAAGTATGGTGAGAGACATGATGGTGAGTGACAGTGATGGTGAGTGCATGAGGTGAGAGACATGATGGTGATGACAGTGATGGGGTGACGTGATGGGAGTGACAGTGATGGTGAGGACAGTGAGGGTGAGAGACATGATGGGTGGTGCAGTGAGGGTGATGACAGTGATGGTGAGTGACAGGATGGTGGGGGCGGGGTTGTGAGAGACAGTGATGGTGATGACGTGATGGTGAAGACGTGATGGTGAGTGCATGATGGTAGTGACAGGAGGGTGAGAGACAGTATGGTGAGTGACGTAAGGGAGGAGACAGTGATGGGGGAGTGCAGTGATGGTGGGGGACAGTGATTTTTGAGAGACAGTGATGGTGGTGCAGTGATGGTGAGTGACGTGATGGTGAGAGACAGGATGTGAGTGACAGTGATGGTGAGAGACGTGATGGTGAGTGACAGTGATAATGGTGACATATGGTGAAGACAGGATGGTGAGTGACAGTGAGGAAGAGACAGTGATGGTGTGCAGTGTGGGGGGGACAGGGTGGTGAGAGACATGATGGTGTGACAGTGATGGTGAGAGACGTGAGGGTGATGACAGTGATGGTGATGACAGTGATGGTGAAGACAGGATGGTGAGAGACAGTGATTAAAGGACAGGAGGTGAGTGCAGTGAGGGTGAGAGAAGTGATGGTGAGTCAGTGATGGTGATGACGTGAGGTAAGCAGTGAGGGTGAAACGTGATTGAGGTGACAGTGATGGTGAGTACAGGATGGGGGTGACATTTGGGAGTGACAGTGATGGTGGGGCTGATGGTGAGAGCATGAGGGTGGCGTGACGTGAGTGACGTGAGGGTTAGGCAGTGATGGTGAAACAGTGATGGGAGTGACAGTGATGGTGGTGCAGTGATGGGGGTCAGTGATGGAAGACAGTGGGGAGTGACAGTGATGGTGAGTGACGTGATGGTAGTGACAGTGAGGGTGGGGACAGTGAGGGAAAAGACATTTGAGGGATGACAGTGTGGTGAGAGACGTGTGGTGGTGCGTGAGGTGAGTGACAGTTGGTGAGAGACAGTGATTTTTGAGTGACAGTGAGGAGAAGACAGTGAGGGTGGTGCGTGATGGTGAGGGACAGTGATGGTGAGAGCAGTGATGGTAAAGTGACAGTGATGGTGAGTGACAGTAAAGGTGAGAGACAGGAGGTGGGACAGTGTGGTGGTGACAGGGGGAAATATGGTGAGTGACAGTGATGGTGAGACAGTGAGGGTGAGTGACTGTGGTGAGTGACATGAGGGAGTGACAGTGAGGGTGAGGATGATGGTGAAGACAGTGATGGGGGTGACAGTGATGGGAGAACAGTGAGGTGTGACAGTGAGGGTGAGTACAGTGAGGGTAGAGACAGTGTGGGGGTGAAGGGAGGAGAAGACAGTGATGGGAGTGACAGGATGGTGAGGGACAGTGAGGGTGAAACATGAGGTGAGTGCGGGATGGTATGCAGTATGGAAGAGACAGTGGTGAGAGACAGTGAGGTGAGAGACGTGATGGTGTGACAGTGAGGTGAGGACAGTGAGGTGAGAGACATGATGGGGAGTGACAGTGATGGAGGAGACAGTGATGGGGGTGACAGTGTGGGGGGGAAAATGTGGTGAGAGACATGATGGTGAGTGACATGATGGTAAAGGACAGTGATGGTGATGACAGTGAGGTGAGTCCAGGATGGTGAGACAGTGATGGTGGGGGGACGTGATTGGGTGACGTGGGGGTGGTGACGTATGGGAGAGACGTGAGGTGAGGCGTGAGGTGAGGACAGGAGGGAGGACAGGAGGTGAAGCAGGATTGGAGGACAGTGAG